ACAACCACACCTATTATATACCCCTTTCGTTTTAATTTATTTGTCTTATTTGATTTGATACATAGTTTTTTAAAAAGTAAAAAGGACTTTTAAATCTTATGATCTTCAATTCAAGATATATAAATATACTCGTAAACATGTTTACGTGGAAAGTTAGAATTAAAAGAGTTGCTAAAAAAATGAAAGAAACATTCTTTTTGAAATTAATTGAATAAAATGAAAAATAAGACAAACGAATTGAAACGAGAAAGTAATAAAACTCTTCTCACAAGTACATTATTGGTGGTTTCTGTTATCGTTACTTGTCTTCCTTAAATTTCAATGTTGATGCTAACTTTTAAAATTACACATTTGTTTGCTCGACCAAAAATATATAACGGTAGTTGAGAAAAATATTGTCTTTTACTAATTTTTTTTTGTGAAGCAACCTATTTATGTCAATTTTCCCTATTTTTATGAGACTAATTAACTAGACTAGCAGCCCAATGATGCTAACTTTTAAAATTACACATTTATTCACTCGATCAAATTTTTTTATATACATTAGTCAAAAAGTTGTTATCGACTATTTTTTATGACGGAGCGGCTATTTATGTCAATTTCCCAATAAGAAACTAATCAACTAGACTAGCAGCCAAATTGGGCTTGAGGTTGAGAGCTGAAAGAATCAGGTGGGCCTAAGTAAAATGGGCCAAGGCCCAGTACGGCCACAAATGATTCAAATGGGCCACCTTAGTGTTTCCTCGAGGCTAAACAAGAAGATGAATTTGAAGACAAACTAAACTTTAAATTGCAAAATGAATAGTCAATTTCCAAGCATTAAATGTAGAGAGCAAAGAAGATATTATTAGTTGTGGACAAGGTTAAACTTGTCTTTAGATAACTATCCAAATGGGCCGTCTTTGTGGTCTAAGCTGGACCAGACACCAGATGGGCCCATTGGGCCTCCCTGTCCTTGAAATTTTTAAAAAATTCCCAAAATTGCCCCCTCCCATAATAATTCCCTGAATGTCTACCCCACCGTCTTAGCTTATATGAGTTAGTTTGACTTGACACAGAATTTAATAAAGAAAGAAAAACTTTTGAAATTTGTGGTCTAAAATGAGTGATAGATATTTGTGGGGCTAGAAATCATTCCATTAAGGGTAAAATCGATATTTTAAAGTTGAATTATTACTAAATATAGAAATGTGTGATTCTTTATGGACGAACTAAAAATAAAAAGTAAGTCGTATACATTGAGACAGATGGAGTAATATTTTGGAGTAATGATAAACTTATCAAAAAGAAAAACTCAGGTTCTACCTATGATTTATTTATTTGATATGGTGATGACATGAATTAAGCATAAATAGAAAAGACAGAATTCATATAACCGATCTTAACTTGTTTGAGTTTGAGGCGTAATTGTTTAGAAACAAGAATATTCTTGCACCTTGCTCAAATTAAGCAGTGCTTATGAAGCAATGATATGACAAAAAAGTAAACATTAGGTGATAGCAATTAGTAGGAAATAAAGAAGGATAAAGAGGAGAAAAATCCTCTGTTGTCGTAATTGAATTGCAATGCTTCTGCTAAGAGAGTTGATCTTCTTCTGTATTCAGTTCTTCTAGATTCATATGCAGTTTGGAGCCAAATGACTCAAGAAATGAAAACAGTTTCTTATGTAAAGGATAATAGAACTCCTAGTAAAGGATCATAAGTACTGAGAAATTGGTAGGGTCATTCAAAACACCAGGATGCTCAAAGAAGGTCATGGACTAAGGACTTCTTGAGGTAACTGTTCAACTTGGCCTTCGAATCTGCAAAACACTGCATGATCTTTTCATTTTCATAATGAGCAATGCCAATCTCAACCTCTTTTTTGTGGATTCTTTCTTGCAAAGTGGCCAACTCCTCCTTCAATCCTTCCAGTTCTTTCTTGTTCGTCTCCATCACTACAAGGTTCCTGGTTTTTGCCTCATTTAATATGCAACTGTCCTGGACAAGTTGCTTGGCCTGAGAGATATCATTCAGTCTTCGATGGAGCCACCCAACGTCTACTTTGACAGACTCAAGATCTTTAACTTCAGCAAGCATAGATTGGAGCTCTGTGGAAGTTATGCTTAGAAAATCTGTTGCCTCCAATTTGTTATATATGTCGCAAACAAACTCCAGGAGTGATGAAGAAAAAGTCACTGAAGAGAAAGAGCTATTCATTGCAATATCTCCGTACTTAAGGAAGATTTTCTGGAGGATAGGTGCTGCTTCCTCCTTAACTCTATACCCATCCACCATGACTGATAGGTGACCTGCAGGTTTAGATTCAACCTTATCAGCATAAGAAGAATAATCAGTCACCAGTGCAGCTACCCTCGTGAAGTTGAGACTCATGGATTTTGTAGGAAGGGGGTCACTTCTGGTTTCCGGTTTTGTTGCATTAGCATTTGACACCACATCAGCCTTCCTTAGTGTTGTGTTTTTCTCATCCACAACTTCAGGAAAAGAAGGAGCTGTTTGAGTGTGTTGCCCCGGTTTCTGATCTTCCACATCTAAGACGCCACGGTTAGTTAGAACAGACTGATGTTTATGCCCTGCATGTGCGGACTCAACCACCCTCCCTTTTGTTGGAAGTGCACCACTCTGGTCACATTTGGTTTCCAGTTCTGTGGCATTAGCATTTAACACCACATCAGCCTTACTTACTATTGTATTTTTCTCATCCACAACTTCAGTGAAAGAAGGTGTTGTTTGAGTGTGTTGCTTTGATTTCTGATTTTCCACATCCATGACATCATGGTTAGTTAGAACAGAGTGATGGTTAAGTTGTGTGCGCGTGGAGCCATCAACCTTTTCTTTTGTTGCTACAGAAATTCCAGTGGTAAGATGAGCAGGAGAGTCACAAATAGCACATGAAGGATACGACGACTGTAGAATAAGAAAGAAGCTGTTAATAAACTAAAAGTTCACATTGTAAGTCATTCTAACTTCATTAACAAAGACTATTTTCTTGAATTTGTGTCCGAGCAACATAGGACAAAGCTGAAACTATTTTCTTGAATCTGTCCTTGGTTAGTAGTGTGTACTCTTGTGTGGACTTCATAGACTCTCTTACTTGAAGAGTAATTCTATATATTTTGGCTGTACATATTGATATGAACCTGCCTATCCATATGCCATCACAGATTTAGCACCATCTTGGTGGTACTATTAATGAAAGTCCACTCTTAATTATCAAGAGAGTTTGAAAAAAAATTCAATAGAGTACCTTAACATGTCGAATTGGAGACGTTGGTGTTACAGTATTAGACTCACACCGACCAAGTAATGCCCTTAAAGACATTCGAGTTTGATACCTGGGATAGGAAGGTGAAGTATCTGGTGGCGCAAAACCCTGTCAAAACAAATAGGAATAGGCAGCTAGTTGATGCAAGTCTATTTGTCTATGTAGGGGCTTAGGAAAACCAAATAAACCGACAAAGCCTTTCAACATGTCATGTAATCCAAGTGCTAGAATAATACTTTGATGATCAGCAAGCACTATAGCTCTAAAAGTCCAAACATATATGTGTAGGCTTATGTACAGTACAAAATAGTTCGCAGCAAACATGCTAACGACAAACTAAATAAGACCACTTCATTACAGACAATGGCTTCTAATGATTAATCTTAAAACACCATTACCTGCCTATAGGAAAGAGCATATCTCTTCAAGAACACATAACTATTTTTTTTATTTATTGACAGAACATGAAGTTGCTTTGTCCTAAACCTCTCAAATCTTTATCTCTTCTCAACTATCAAAGCAGAGTGAATATATAACCTGTGCAATCAGCTAATCATGCTTAAGTATTTATGTGATAACCCACTAGCCAAACAACATGTCTCATATTCATTCTATAACTCTTGTAGTTCAGAATTTTTTTAAACAAAAGTCATTTGCATTAGCCCTACCACAAATCATCAAAATATACTTTCCTCTTCAGCACCTCTAAACATAGGCTCACACATTTAAGATAATACAAGATGCAATACAACCTTAACACAGCAAAATAAAAAAAAAACACCAAGTGAGTGCAGTAAGCCCTTTGTTTTATTTTACTCTGAACAAAACAGAAAAAGAGAGGACATGATCACCAAAATGTAGAGCTGAAGTGTTTACCGGATGCGGCGATAGAGCTGAACCATCGTCTAGTTTGGGTTCTTGTTTCATCCTCAACACTCTTCCACTGCTTAGAGAAGCTACTGCTTCTTGCTGTTGAGATTCTTGAGAAGGGGTGGCACCTTCAACACTTGTATTCTTTTGGGCTTCATCTTTTCTTGTTCTCCCTCTCTTCCCCATTTTCTATCTTCAACACTGTTTTCTTCAAAGATGAAATCTTTTTTTTTCTCTGTGTGTCACTCAACAAGAAGCTTCTGAGCTATGAAAAATGATACTGCAGAGTACCCTGCCACTGAAAGAGAGTTTGTTAATTCTGCAGCCAAGAAAGATGTTACACGTGTCTATTGCTTGTAATCAGGACATGTGTCACTAATTTAATCATTGTATTTGATAAAACGTTTGTTAAGGATGTGAAATTAAATGAAATGTTATAGCCATGCTCAAAATGTTTGTTTATTTGGCTACTCAACTTTAAGCTCCTTGTTATGAAATTTGCATGCAGTATTAGTAAGTGTGACATATGAGAAATATAAAGTACTATTAAGGGGGAGAATGATGGTAAATCTTGGTTTATGGGAGACACAAGTTGTTATAGAAATAATTAAAGAAATGTGGAAAAAGAAAACAAGAGTTATAATTCAAGGGTTGATAACATTTGTTGATTATTTTGAGTAATCCTCCACAATTAGATGATTAGCAGGAAATAAAGAAGGATAAGGAGAAAAGAACTCAAGTAATTAACATTAGTTCTCTTAATTGAATTGCAATGAAGCTGCTAATAAAGTTTCTACATCTCTGCTCATTCCATTCCGCAATAGCAAATAAAACTAGTCTATCTGATTCTGTTTCAGTTCTTCTGCAACTCATATGCAGTTAGGGGCCAATGACTCAATGGTTGAACATAACAATTTGTATATTATGGGATAACAGAACTAGTTAGGGATTAAAAATTAGTGAAAAAGATCATTCATATGGTCCTATCCAGGACAGAACAACTACAAACGCCAGGCTGCTCAGAGAAGGTCATGGACCAAGGACTTCTTCAGGAAACTGTTCACCTTGGACTTCAAAGCTGCAAAGTTCTGCGTGATTTTTTCGTTCTCAGAACGTGCAATGCCAAACTCATCCTCTTTATTGTGGATTCTTTGTTGCAAAACGCGGCATGTTGCAATGCAAGCAGCCAACTCTTCCTTCAATTCTTCCAGTTCTTTCTTGTTTGTCTCCATCACTACAAGGTTCCTGGTTTTTGTCTCCTTCAGTTTGCAGCTGTCCTGTAGAAGTTGCTTGGCCTGAGAGATATCATTTAACCTTCGACTGAGCCACCCAACATCTATTTTGGCAGCCTCAAGATCTCTAGCTTCAGCAAGCATGGACTGAATCTCCTTGGAAGTTATACTTAAGAAATCTGTTTCCTCCAATTTCTTACAGATGTCGCAAACAAACTCCAAGAGTGATGAAGAGAAATTCACAGAAGAGAAAGAGCTATTCATTGCAATATCTCCATATTTAAGGAAGATCTTCTGGAGGACAGGTACTGCTTCCTCCTTAACTCTATACTTATCCACCATGACTGACATGTGACCAGGTCTTGATTCAACCTCATCAGCATCAGAAGGATAATCATTCATTAGTGCAGCTATCCTTGTGAGATTAAGACTCATGGATTTTGTTGGAAGCACACCACTCTGGTTACTTCTGGTTTCCGCTTCTGTGGCTTTAGCATTTAACACCACATCAGCCTTACTAACTGTTGCATTGTTCTCAACTACAACTTCAGGCAAAGGTGGTGTTTGAGCGTGTTGCCCTTGTTTCTGATTTTCCACACCCAAGACACCACAGTTCATTAAAATAGATTGATGTTCAAGTTCTGCGGGCACAAAGTCATCAAGCGTTTCTTTTATTGCTTTAGAAATTCCAGTAGTAAGATGAGCAGGTAAGTCAGAAGTAGCACATGAAGGATATGACGCCTGTAGAATAAGAAACGAAGTTTAGACTGTTAATAAATGAAAAGTGTACATCATAAGCCATTCCAACTTCATTAAAAGGGACTGCAGAAAATGTTAAAACAATCTAAAGATTAAAGATAAACACTCTTTCTTAATTTAAGGAATCTCTGTGCATTGTGACATTGTTGCTGGTTGAAGTGCTGGAGACCAATTTTAATGCCATTTGACAAAAACGATGTAAGTTAATAGTCTCTGATTGATGGATGATTTTGGCTAATCTAACCTTCTTGTTTCTTATAGTGATGAGCCAACTAATGTCCAAGTATGTTCTTGTTTTATCTTTTTCTTACTATGATACATATATCCCTTTCTTTATTCAAGAAATCTCTGTGCAATATTCTTAACGAGCAACATAATTTATGTTTTATGTGCATGCATCTCGAAAGTTATTCTGTCAACATATCCATTTATGCTTGGTAGGTCTTCAGTTGCATTTGTTCCAAGTTAGTTTTGGGGACTGTAAAATGTAAATTTACTCCCTTCCTTTTACAGCATTAGTGCAAGGGAATAGTGGTTGTCACTAAAGTAACTGGCTTATGCCAACATTAAAGATAAATACGCATCACGAACCTTAATTTACAGTCGTGCCAAAGTTATATACTCCAGCTTTGGCATGTCAGAAACTGAACTATATTTCTCTATCTTCCATAATAATTTCAGAAGGAATATGTTTGACTAGGAAACTGACGAGTGGTACAGTTACTGTGCAGTTTAACAAAGCTAATAATGGATGAAAATAACAATGATTGCTGCAGAAGGGTCCCAAGCAATGATAACATCTTTTCAGTTAAAACATGTTATTACTCTCTATTCAGATTAATGGAGGAAGAACAAATCTCAATGGAAGATGATCTGGAGAGGGTAAAACGGAGTTAAGAAAAACTCTTGATTATTAACAATGAACAGTAATGACAGTATCCAAAGCACCTTTCGGGGCAGCATGCTTCAATGGATAGCCCCTCACAAGGCTTTTCTTACTCATGATAATATGCAGAAGAAAGCAATGAAGCTGCCATATGCAACTATGTTTGGGAAATATGATTTCTATTCCTAAGCATATCAGGAGTGAAATGGACTATGCCAGAATCAGTTAAAGCAGTTTCAGTTAGATGGCAAGGATGGAAAGTTGAAAAAGGAGGAAAAGAACCTTGGGAGATCATTCCAACTAGTATTTTTTTTGGATAATCTGGACGGTGATACACAAGTGTACACACCACAAATATTTTTTGTTTTATGTTTAGTTGTTTACAGATATTGAATCTTTGGTTCAATATTTCCTTGGATAGTGGTGTGTACACCTGTGTATCACCTCTCTATGTTGAGAAGTGTTCTGTAAATTATTGATTGTACATATTTTGCACCTTCTTGGTGCTACTATTAATGAAATTTCACTCTTTCATCAATGGAGTTTGAAAAGAGATTCATTGGAGTACCTTAACATGTCGAATTGGAGACCTTGGTGTTGTAGTAATAGACTCACACCGACCAAGGATTGCCCTCAAAGACTTGCGAGTTTGATACCTGGGATGGGAAGGTGAAGCATCCGATGGTGAAAAACCCTGTCAAAACAAAAAGGAATATGCAGCTAGCTGAAGCAAAATTTATTTGTCTAGATAATAGCTTAGGAAAACCAAATAAGCAGCTTTGTAGTAAGCAAAATTGACCTGAACAAACAGAACATGTAGGCTTCTGTACACTACAGAATAGTTCAGAGAATCATGCTAACAAAAACGAAATAAGACCACAAATATCTTTTGCATTACAGAAAATGACTTCCAATGATTAGTCTTACAACATCATTACCTGCCTATAAGAAAGAGCATATCCCTTCAAGAACACAACTATATTCAGGTTGCTTTTTCCTGTTTCTCTCAAATTCCTCCCCACCCCACCCTTCTCAACTATCAAGGAGTGAATATTTTACCTTGTGCAATCAAAATATCATGCTTATTTGAGCATTTATGTAATGACCCACAGGCGCCAAAACTCACCTGAAACCGTTATCCCCTAACAAACAACATGTCTTTTATCCATTCTCTAACTTCCGCAGTTCAGAATTTTTTTGAACAGGTCTTGCAATTTTAGCCCTATCACTCTACTACAAAGCATATATCTTTTAACACTTTTAAGATAAAAGTAAGTAACATGCAATACAATCTTAACACAGTAAAATAAGAAAAAATGATTGTTAAGAAAACGAGAAGAAAGAAAACAAGCGAGTGAAGCAAAAAGAAAAAAAGAAACGATCTTCAAGTTAATAGGGTTTAGAGATAACAAGCCCCTTCTTTTTCATTTTTTCTCTGAACCAACAACAAAAAAAATATGATCACAAAAATGCAGAGGAGTAGAGTTTACTGGAGGTGGCAATAGAAGAGCTTGTTGGGGTTCTTGTTTCATCCTCAACACTCTTCCACTCCTTCTAGAAGCCACTGCTTCTTGCTGTTGAGATTCTTGAAAAGGGGTGGCTCCTTCAACACTTGAACCTTTTTGTGCTTCATCATTTCTTGGTCTCCTTCTCTTCCCCATTTTCTCTTCAAAGTTGAAATCTCTCTCTCTCACACACACGCAACAAGCAGCTACTGAGCAGCTTGCTAAAAACGGATTCTGCAGAGTACTCACCTCTGCAAGAGCATTCTGCAGCCAAGAAAGATGTTACACGTGTCACTGTCCTTTCAATGTTATTGATTTTGCCTCCACTTTTATTCTCATAATTGCATGCCACAGTTTTCAAAAATATTTGTCATTATGATATGGTCTTTAATATTTTACCAAAATGTTGTAGAGATATTGAGAAATTTGTTTATATCAGTGGTCTATCGTATGAATTTGCATGTCACAGGGTTTTGGTTTTTCTGAGAACATATTCAAATGAATAACCAAAGTGTATTGAACCCCACAGACTTCACTTTTAAGATTATACCGAAAATATTGTTGTTATCAAATAGACAACCAACTATTTTGACCAAAAGCTAATCTATCGAAACTAAACTTATATAGCAATATCTCTATCTCCAGTTTAAAAGTATTTAAATAACATCTTCTTCTTTTTCATTTACAAAAGGAAATAAGATGCACAAAACTAACAAGACAAGAATTTATTTCAAGGTGTCTAGCAGTCGACCTCCTACCTCAGATATGCTACAGCTTATCTTGCCCTTCTATTCAGAATTTCAGACGGTAAAAAAGTTCTCAAGATAAACAAACAATCACACACAATCTCCTAATGATTATTTGTCAGTTAAGCTTTCTTAAAGAAGAGATCACATATCCACCTCGACCAACGTTCTAATTTTCAGTCTAATATCATCCTTTATCATAAGAAATGCATCACTGCAGCCGTATGAGTTTATCATTTTCTCTGAATACTATGGCAAAATTTCTTTCACATAAAACAGCATTTGTACATTAAGAAAAATGGAGAACTAAATGAAAAAAATACAACATGCACTTTAAGTCATCCTTTTTCTATGCTGACGGAATGAAGGATCCGACTACTTAAAAAGACTTCCAAGAGCTCAAACTTCAAATCTGAAAGTTGTTGAAAATGCTTCGCACCAAGCCACAAACTCTTTCCTGGTATTTGACCTGACCCTTGGCAAGACAAGCATGTACTACTATCTTCATGTCAATGATAATCAGATCAAATCAGGGGTGGAGAACCAGTCCAGAAGCAATAAGAACCCTCGTAGAGCTGAAAATTTCCTTTAGAACCATCCTAATGTTGTCAAGTGTATACTCTAGATGCTCGATATAGTTCCACTTAGCTTCTCCAGCACTCTTCCAGAGAGATTACACTTCAGCTCGAAGTGTACAATTAAATTTGTAGATCCTTAAGCGCATTTAGTTTCTCCAATCTCCCATTTGATGAAAGAGAAGAATTTTCACCAGCATTTAGGCCTACAGCTCCATTTGCAGGAGATTTCTGTATCTGATTGTTAGCTGAACTTTGAATACCTCCAAAGTAAGTCGAGTACACAAAGTACTCAGCACAACGAACTTTCCATCCTACAACAATGTCTCAAAAACATCACTACCCATAGAATCACCAAATATCATGTAAGTAGGTTGTCACTGATGTATTTGACAGAAAAGGATCATCTCATACATAATATAGACAAAATAATATATCCACCAGCCACCCAAATCAACAGAAAAGGAATGGATGCATGAAAAAAAACGAGCAGGCTACAATAGCAATATACCAGAACCAGAGTCAAACATATGCATGCAGTTGACTTCAACTCAACTTCAGGCCAAGGGAAGACTTAAGATGTACAATATGAAAAGACAGAGGGATGTGTGCAATGGTAAAGAACTTACTGGATGCAGCATCATGGTCAACCAGAGTTGTCTCAAGGAGTTTGTGAACAGTAATGCAGTCGTTCAATTTCCATGACCTGACAGTTCCTTGTCCTCCGTCCCTAATTTGGAGAAAAGTAAAAACAGAGGTGATTTATTACTATTTTGCAAATAGAACGAAATATTATCAGCTATGTAATGAGAATACAAATTAATGTGATGAAAACAGGGTCTTACATAGAAACAAGATCATTAACAGAGTCTTCAATTAATTTGATAGCCTCAGCCTTCTTGTTTGGTTCCAGAACATGTAGCAACTCAGCCACAGCAGCCCTATGCATCAATGATTCTGCAAACACCACACAATGAGAAATCATGTTTTCTTCAAGAATGAGAGGAGTAACGATGCAAAATAAACTAATAAAAGTATGTTACTGTTAGACACTGACCTTTATGTTTCTCAAGAAAAGTGTTGTTTGCCTCAATGAGAGATTTACCATGCAACTGGCTGGAAAGGTCAATTAGAAACATACAGAAACCTTAGTATAATTACAATCAATAACATCATACAATAATAAGATCCACAATCCCAACTAGTTGGAGTTTTTGTGAATTCCCAAATCAATGGAAGTACTATGACTGGTAGAGTATCAACACTGATAGCATTTAAACATGAGATATATAGAGAAAAGAGAAGTGCATTGAAGATGACCTAAAGGCAGGTCGCTCTGCTTCCAAGACACCCCAGATGAGCTTTTCAGTATCAGTTACTGGAGTAGGCAAGGAGTCAACTTTATGGAAGAACTTCATCTGCAAGAGATCATAGTCCATATGAGAGAGAAGCAAATATGAATACTTCGAGAAATAGAGCATGACGTGTTTATAAAACAATAATATCACTGGAAGTATTGATGCCATAAAAGCATACCAAGCACAGATGTGATTTTGGATCATCTGCATCCAACCGCATTAAATGCTTTATTGCCTGGAAAAAGACAAAGATCAAAGTGATTGTTTGTCAATATTCCTAAAACCACTACTACTATGACTACATCTCAATCTCAAAATAGATGCAGGTCAACCAAACGAAGCCTCAATAACCATTCTGTTACATCTAGAGGCCCACCGTTTGATTCTAACACAAAAATTCGTGAAATAAGGAAATACTATTAAACATCATAATTATCCTGGCACTGGCATAAGATCCCTATCCAAACTAAAAAAAGCCCATATCAAACACCAGACCTGGAACAAAAGTACCAACTGACTACCCTTAGTCCTTGGTATCTCCTATAAAATCAATTTGCTTCCATGCTTTCATAATGTTCTATTTAAGTCTTTTGAGAAAACTATCCTCCATGCGATTAGAAGTCAACCTCATCCTTTTTAACATCTTCGATGGCAGTGCTTTTGAGGATCTAAGTAAAACATGAGCCCAACTATTTTTAGGTGACATTCTCTCTTCTTTTTTTCATATGAGTACCACAGCAGAAAATGAAGATTAGAATTCCTGAATCTAGATACAACTAGCAATGAGGAACAAAACAAAGGGGGAAAGACAAGGAAGCATGGTAATCTCAAGCAACTAACTATATGCATGGCCACTACTATGCCACAAAGATATACCAATATAAATATAACTGAAATCAACTGAATTATAAAGGATATTACCTGCAAGGCAAGCAAGATCTTCTGCTTCCTCATGTTTACGTCAAAGGACAGCAAATGTGTCTCCAAGAAATCTGGTGAGTGCTTAAGGAGAAGCTTGAGGTACTTTGAAGCTTCTGCCAGAGGATCTTCAGTCTGAAAGGTTTAGTGACAAGATAGTACTCTTATCAAAATCAGAAAATACCAACTGGTAGAAATTATTAAAACACTGTTCTTCCCATTTTACTGGAGATGTTTGGATTTTCATCAAGCATTCCAAGTGTTTGACACGATATCCAAAGTAACAGATGTTTGATCACTCAAAAAAAAAATTGAAAAGGTAACAGTATATTAAAACATCAGCACAAATGAAGTGCTGGAATCCATATTAACAGATTACAAAAAGCAAAATATCACCTGTTCAGCTCACAGGGATTCTATGATTGATGCTACTTCATCTACATTTTTTTTTCTTTACACCAAAAATGACATTACAAAATACAATTCATCTTAATCTTCTGTACTGAGCTACTTTTATCTTCAAAACATCTTTGCATGGATACTTTACAAATTTAAATCCAAAGTGCAACAGCCTACCCATCATCATTAACTCCATTAGAAGATAATGGAATAGTCTTCATCAAAATAAAATAAAAAATCTAACAGTTACTCCTGACTACTCTAAATTCATACTAGAAATTGTGCAAAGAGTGCATTATCAAAAAAAATTGTGCAATGAATGGATGGATACTTTATACTTAAAAGATGTTACAGATGGCAGAAAAGGAAATACCTGAATCAATTTTTCACCATGTGGATCAGGATCTACAGGCTTCACATGGCGCTTTCCAGATTTAGTAGCACTAGTTGCATTGGATTCCTCAATTTTGACTTCTGCATCCTAAACACAATTCAAAAGATTAAGGCACCTACACTAAAATGAAATTTTCAAAGAACAAGAAGAAGCAAATTTGAGTACTTTCTTAGCTCGTGCTTCTGCCTTCCTCAGTTTTTGCTTTAATTTCTTTTTCTGAGAAGGAGGCAACTTGGACATTGCATCATCCTCTTCAGATGCTGACTTCAAAGGAGAATCGTACAGCTTCAGATAGCATCTAATGTAGAGGCAAAACAAAGAATAAAAACATAAAAAGTTTCAGCAAAGCAATTCTCAGTAAGCTTGAAAGTTGCATGTAATCAAACCGGAAAGCTAGGATACTATAAGCAGAAGAGTTCCAGTCTTCTATTGTTCCACTTCAACAGAAAGTTCACTTATAATGCAAAGTAGAACCACATAGTTGAGAGCAACCAAAAATTTGAAGATTGAGCGAGTCAATATTCAGTACCTGATAGCACCACTAGCTGCTTTGCGAAAATACGCATGTGAATGAAGCCGATCTTGAAACTTCAACATTTCCACGTAGGCCCGCAAAGTCATTTTTCTTAGGCAGTAGGAGTGAAAATCAAACTGGTCCTCCGTGATATCCGCGTAATGCTTCTCCACTGCCAGAAACTTCTTTAAGGACCTTCCCAGCTCACCTTGGCGAAGATAACTTTCCCCTGATGCTAGTTCATACCTTTCATATAAAAAATTAAAC